AGAATATACTGGCTCCAAGTTATTTTGAAGTGCTGCCCTTGGTTTAGCCGGCATTACCATCTATGCTTCACTAACTTATTTAGTAATTAAACAATTAAAAAAAGACTAACCTTTTTATAACCAATCCAATCAAATATGACAAGACCTAATCCAAATTTAGAAAACGAAAACTCCCTCTATGCCTGAGCCACTGGCAAATTAGTTATTTATGGGATCGGCATTGCCGCCGGTATTTTCATTTGAAAAACTGGCATGCTCCAAAAAGTAAAGGGTAAAATATTCGGTAAAAAAGAAGCTGAATAGCCCTTAACTCCATTAGCTCTACTTATGAATAAAGATATCATTACCCAAGTCCTACAAGAAATTCTCCAAGCAGATCCTAATTATTTCTTACCGAAACAACTCCATGTTCTTTCGTGAAAAAGCCAAAGAATCGCCGGAGCCTTAATTACCAAAATTAATGGTCAAAGATATTTAGGTTTACCTAGCAAAGATAGTCAGGGTCAAGATTACTGGAGATATAAACTTTTACCTAATTCTGAGCATTCAGGAGAGGTTAAAAGTTCAACCTCCTTAGATAGTGTGGTTAAATTTCAAGCCAGACAAGCAAAATCTCAAGAATTAAATCATGATCAAGCCAATAACTCAACTGAACAGTCAGTTAACTCCTAATCTAACCAGTACGATCCAAAATTTAAGCACTAGTTTACAAGCTATTCAGCCGGCTGATAACCAAAATATCAAGTTGATTACCTATTTATTATTAGGAACTGCCCTCACCGGTATTTCTGTTTATCACTATATAAAAAATTACGAAGAAAACAGTTAATTATGCCCGCTTGAAAAGATTATTTACCCGACTTCAAAGGAACCTTACAAGGTTTTTATGAAGAAAATATTCAGCCAACCTTAGAAACTAAGACCGCTTATTATGAAAATCTCTTACAAGAGAATATTGCTTTTGGGCAAAGAACCCAAAAAATAGCAATTGCCTTAGGAATTGGAATATTCTTATTACTCGCGATTGCTTATTTTTGACAAGGTAATTCGAAATATTTAGCCTTCGGAGTTTTAACTGGTTATCTCGCCCCTCACCTTTATCAATTAACCCACAATAATTAAAATTTAACCCTCTAATTCCTGTAATTATGATTGAAATCAAATACCTGATCCTGTTCAGTGCTTGCTTTATTGGTGGATTATATCTCCGCCATTGAGTTAACACCGGAACTGGACAACTGCAAAGATTTAACCAAATCTTCAAATAAAAATATGTCAACTGCTACGCTAATAATTGGGAGTGTTTTAGTGGCATTTAGTGGATTTTTAACTCATCAAATCCTCGAAACCCTCCTTAACACTGCCCTAGTTTTTATCCCTTTTAACATCCGCACTACTTCTTAAATAGCCTCTCACCAAAGAAATTGTTTAAAAATTTATGAAAAAGAAAAATACTAAAAAAAATAAAAATCAAGTAATTGTCGTTCCTTCGGGAACCAAGTCAGTCTCTAAATCTAAAATTAAATCTGCTAAAAAAGTAACAAATGCTCCCGGATATTACCTCTGTATGGGAGATAATTGTCATGATCAGAACATTACCCAAGTTGCTAAAAATTGTAAGGCTAATGCTCCTAGTTTAACTGCTAAGAGAGTGAAAAAGATTAAAGAGTTAACCAAAGCTGCCAAAGTGATTGGTAAATTTGCCCAAGATTTAGAAAAAGTTTTACCGCACTAATGAATAAAGAACCTTTAATTCTCATGAGTGCCATCGGTCTAATCGGTTATGTTACTTTTCATGGACACTTAAAAAACCAAGATTGCTGATTATGTCCTTATAAGGGAATAGTTTTTGCCGGTAGTTCCATTGCTTTGGGGATCTTTTTAGCACTTCAAGAAAACTAACTCTAATGGACTGCTGTGAACTATTAAAAACTGCTCTGTGAATAATTGCTGGATCCTTTGGAGTAATCTTAGCCTTATTGGCTATGTTCTTTGGTTATAACTTAAGATTAGACAAAAGAACTGTCAAATTAGAGAAAAAGAACGGACATGAACAACATCAGATTGATGAACTAAGAAAAAAGATTGAGCAACTGGAAAAAAAATAATACACTTCTTTAGAAGAAGTATTAAAAAATTTTGCCACTGATGAATAAATGCTTACTTTGCAATAAGAGAAAACCCTGCTTTGGCTCTTACTTTTGCTTCCGGTGCCAACTAACCCAATTACCTTGATTTTAACATGATTAAAACCATATGGAAAACAAAGACTTAATCATTATCGCCCTAATTCTAGCACTAATCTATCTCTATTACCAAAATAGAAAACTAAATGTGCTAACTAATTTTACCGGAACTAATGCTAATTTAGCCGAGATAAACGAAGTTAAAAAAGTAAATCAAATCTTTGCTAATTTCTGTAAGCAGGAGATCGGAGGCAAAGACATTAACGAACTTCGCACTAAACTTAATGGTCGCACTTTAACTGAAATCCTGGAAGAAAATGAAGACTATGAAACTACCATTGACGGACTAAAACGCAAAAAAGGAGAATTAGAAGCCGAAATCACCCTCCTGACTAATTCCCGAAAAAACCAAATCAAGGAAAAAGAAACCATTATCACTCGTTTAAAAGAGGAAAAAAAATCTTGAGAGACCAAGTATAAAAAGAAAGCTAAACAGTTAGATGAAGAACAATTAGAGAATAATAAGTTAACCGAAAAGATAACTAGTTTAGAA